CAAATAGAACTGCCCGGTAAACCGTAGGCAGAGAGAGAGAAGAGGACAACAAACAAGGGGCTGTGACAAATAGCATAAGTTTTCTTTCCTTCTTTGCTCGATTATGTAATCAATCGCTTATCTTACTTTGCGTTCTACCCACTGTAAGAGTTTGAATATATATATATATATATATATAAACCATGCATTGTAATTATTACTTATCACGCCTATCCTTAAACCAATCATCCAAGCAAGGATCGCAATTCAAGATATGAGTGATCACACTTTCAGAGAAAACACGTGTCGATTACATATCCAACGCCCTCATTTTATAGAAAGAATGAACTCTCCATTGGCAAAAAGCTGAAGTGTCACCGCTCTCCTCTCCTTTCCACTCAACAGATAACATGATGCGCAGACTTGTACGAAAAAATGAATATGAAGAAACTCGTTGCATCCCTAGTGGCAGTTCCACGTAATACGGGAAATCTGCCACAACAGCCAAAGCAGGGAGGGTAGTGGCGATCCCTGAAGCGCTTTTCTGTCACTAGCCACCAGTACACGGCTTCATCAGAGGGAACACCTGCTTTAAGGTCACAAATGCTTTGTGAGTCGGAGCGGCGATGGAGGCGGCAGAGCTTGCAAGTGGTGTAAGAAGGCAAGAAAAGAAAGAAAAGCAAGCAAGGCAACAAAAGCGAGCAAAACGTAGGCTGACATCTCGATAGCTACCCCCATCTTCTCATCCGCCCCCTCTCTGCTCAACGCCATTGCCCCTAGCTCGACTAGTCTACACACTGCCCAACGCAGAAGTTGAAACGGAAAGAAGACTAGCATCATCAGCAGCTCAACCCCCCTGCGTGCAATGCGAGAACGGCGCAAAGAATGGAAGATCGTGCAGTCTCTTAGCGCATGCGTGGTGCATCACAAGTGACCGAAATAGTCAGGAAATTATGGAGGTGAGGGCGAGGAAGCTTATACCCTGTCTTCTTCGTCATCGATCATTCGATCCAGCAATTCCTAATGCACCTCGTAATCCATGCCGAAGGCAACCACACAACACCGACGTCCCGGTACAAAGCTCAGAACTCCGTCTGCCCGATCTTCTGTCAACTAGAATGCCTGTTGCCGTTCGGCCCGCAATCATGAATTACGGCCGGGCGAAAAACCTATGCGCTGATCCGATGATGGGAGTCGGGGGGATGTTCCACTTGCTCAAACAGTGCCCCGCCATCGTCACTTTCCGAGAGATATTGCCCGCGGGCAATACAAACGTCGATGGTGACGTGAGGCGGGAAAAGAACAAATAAAAAAACAAAAACAAAAACAAAAACAAAAACAATAGCAGAAAAGTTCGAGATGACTTCCACTGATTGGGGGGTTACGATCCGTATCACACGCCTTCTGATTGTCCTACCCAGTTGGTCGAAACGTTACTACTGGTGATCTGTTTAAAAATGTAAAAAAATAAAAAATAAGGAAAAAAGAAAAAAGAAAATAGTGCTCCGTCATCGTCACTCTCCGAGGGATATTGCCCGTGGGCAATACAAGCGTCGTTGGTGACGTTAGGCGGGGGGACTTAAGCATAAAATATAACACAAATAAAAAAAAGACAAAAATCAAAAATCAAAAACAAAAACAAAAACAATAGGAGAAGAAATACGGAAACAACACCTCCTGATTGTAAGGATACGATCCGTATCACACGCCTTCTGATTGTCCCATCCAGTTGAGCGAATCGTCACTACTGGAGAATGTGCATGCCTTGCTATTCGTATCATTGCGCGCACGGGTTGTGCGCATAATCGGACTCAGGTTTATTGCAGGCCGTGAGCATTCTCCTGGCCCATAACTGCTGTCCTGCACGCATCTTTCGTGGCGTAATACGCTCTGAATGAGCTTGTACGACAACTGGGGTGTGTCGTACTCGTTTGGGCTTCTCGGTCGTCGTTATTCCGCACAATCTTCCATCAAGGTTTATCTTTTATTATTATTATTTATTTACTCGCTCTGTCCGACCTTTTTGAATACCTTTACCAGTTGCTTCCTATGCTTGGTGATTCCTCCCTTCTTCCAACCATCCTCGCTCCTCGTCCCCCTGTTATGTGTGTGTGTGTGTGTGTGTGTGTGTGTGTGTGTATGTGTGTGTGTGTGTGTGTGTGTGTGCGTGTGTGTGCCCCGCCCCTATCCCACCGGAAAACGGGACTCAGGCCGGAAGGTCGGATGCCGGGAGGCATCGGGCCTTTCCGGCCCGTAGCCCCCCGGTTCCCACACACACTCACAGACATCACAGAACATAGATTAGTCCATGCCAAATCTGTTGATTAGGTTGGCTTTCACCATTTCGTCAATCACCCTGCCAGGCTGGTACTTCTGTCTGTTGTGAAAAACCCTATCCACCACCTTCCAGCATTCCCTTTTGCCAAATCCCTTCGAGACCATGGTTTGGACTAGGTTATTGATTTCCAAGGCGGCTTCCTGTTCATCGGAACAGATGATGAGAGTCAAGACAGTCTGAGCCGTTAGGATCCGCAGAGACTGCGAGATGGACCGATTTGACCTGAACTTCATGAATTTCACGGGGGAGAATGAAAGTCCACTCTTCTTATCGTGTTTAGAGGTAAAGTACGAGCCGTTTATGGAGGATAGGACTGTTAATGAGAGGTTGAGAAAATTTGCAGCCCTCCCATGTCCATCGATTACGACCTCAGTTGTTTCCTTTACCTCAATGAAATTGTGCGGGTAGATCTTGTGACCCGGGTTCTGGCCGTGCACACCGTTCTTGAGGAACTCAGTAATGATCGTGTTGTTTAGAGAACACAGATCATCTATATATCTATAGGTGTCTTGGAAACATTCAACCGCCATCCAGTCCTGCATGTCGACCAAGTGAGAGATCAATTCGTACTCGTACTTAAAGAAGTATACATCACAGAAGATAGGAAAACAAGCTAGACCCATGGGAATTTCGAGGATCTGTTTCCATACCCTGTTCCCCAGTTGTACCACCCCGTTGGAGATGAGCCATTCACAGACGTCGATGATCCCCTGTTCGTCGAAGTACAACCTATCCCTGTCCCTGTCCTGATCCCCATTCACCCAGTAGGGGTGTAGTGTGTCGTTGGTTGCGATTCTGATCGCGACCACATCCCTGGTTGTCCTTGCCCTCCTCAATTCCATGGCGCAGCGAACGAAGAATCTGATCGCTTCCAGCAGGCCGTCCTCCGATCCATCCGTGGGTATCGTCTCGAAACACCTGGTGATATCCCCCGTGAAGACGGAGTAAATGCACTGCGGGATGTTGGCAACGAACTGCCCGATCGAGGAGATTGGCCACCAGAAGTTGGGTCTGACCCCGTGTTCGACATGAATCTCTTCGCTCCTGCTTGTGCAGAGGGCCTGAACATCCTCAGCTAGGAGCTTCAGTAATCTTTCGCAGACGTCCGCCACCGGGGAGAGCACCGAACCTGCAGAGTTTGTGATCCACCTGAAGGATTGCTTGTGCGCCTAATACACCGTCATGAGGTGCGGGAGCGGCAGCACCTCGTGCCCAATATGAGTAAAGGTAGCAGCCTCCCGCACTAACCTTGCCGCCTCCTGCTCCGGTGAACCTGGAAGTGGTGTGAAGTCCGGCCCCGAGAACCTCTGCAATGCCAACCTTCTGATGAAGTTGATGCAGACGAAAGTGGGGGTGTGTGGCGCCTTGTCCGTTGGACAGACCAGATATCGACTGGTCAGCTATTCGATCTCGCTCCTTACTGCCACACTGTTAATAGGTTCGCCTGTAATATGCATATGTTTCGTTCGAAAGCTCTCGACGTATTTCTTCGCGTTCTCTCGCACGATCGCCTCCATTTGCCTCTCTTCCCCTAGGGATAGCTCCTCGTCGCATCTCCGCGTGGTAAGTATCTTGTCAAGCGCTACCTCAACCTCGTCCAATGTAAACTCTTCATCGAGTGCTCTGAGTGGGATGTGATTCAAACCCGCATTGAGCATGAGCTGCAGCTGGCCGTTGTTCATTACGCCGGTGTCATTAATGATGACGTGCAAGGTACCTTCCTCCGGGAGCATCTTGATGGTGGCAGTATTGAGGAACTCGGCGTGCCTCCCTGTGCTGCACGGGCAGAACTCTGGTACATACCCTGCCTCCCACTCATTCATCCTGAATTTCCTGAACACCCTCGCCGACTTGCAAATCTTGGCACCTAAGGCTTCGTCAGCAAAGCATCCGATGACCACATCCTCTAGCCAGTTCGCCGATCTCTCCCCCATCACCTGCCTGAGTGCCTCCCGGACCATGCTTCTCAGAGGAACCGCTTCCATAAGCCTACTCATGTATCTGACGTGCACAACTTGGTCCTGCTCCCGCTCCCTCCTTCTCCATGCGGACCTTCCCGAAGGAAGAATGATCATGCTGCCATCTTCTTTTGGGTCGAAGCTCTCATCCTGCGTAGTGCACGGAAGCTCATTGACGGTGGGTTTGTTGTTAGAGGGGATCGCTCCTAACATATATGGCGAGGGGCGAAAGGCTGGAGGATCAACCTCTGACATGCATTATAGATATAAAAAAGTAAAAACAGAGAA